GTAAATGAGCTAAAAGCTCATAAATCCATTTTTAAATACTTCAGCAGTAGGAGTGTCTGTTGAGCCATAGATTATCACTGCAAAAGACAAGGTAAGGCCATGGCAGAAGAAAAGTGTGCTCTTCATGGACAAACTTGAGAAGGTTCCTGAGTTTGTTTATTTATGGGGGACTTGTAGAGGATCTGTCTGATATTGAAGTGACTGTAGAAGCAGCTATGGGACATAAGAGCAAAACACACCTTAATACTTTCGTATGAGTGATGTTCACCCAAGAGTTCTGCCAGAGCTCACAGATGAAGTAGCTGAAGTGCTGGCTATGGTGACCAACCCCTCGCTTAAAACAGTCTTGGGCCCTGAGGGCTAGAAAGTTGACAGATGTGACATGAATTTTTTAAAAGGGTTCTGGAGGAGATTCCAAGGAACTAGCAAAGCCTGACTGAGCCCATTATTAGAAACTGTAGTTAAAAAAAAAAAAAAAAAAAGAAGGAAAAATAGAATATACTGAGGAGGAGTCACCATGACTTTTGTAAAGAGAAGCCCTACCTCACAAACCTCCTGAAGTTCTTTGAAGGCATCAGGATGTATGTAGATAAGGGAGATCCTCTTCAAAGGGTAGGCTCAGGCTTCTAAAAGGCTTTTGGTAGTCTGTCACCAAATTCAGTCCTTGCATGGATACACAGTTGGTTGACAGATAGTCAGCAGAGGATATAAATAAATGGTCAGTTCTGACTAACCACAAATGAGATCTTCAAGCTTGAACAGATCCTTGGGTGGCTCTGTCTGAGTAGCAGTCAAAGAAGCAAATGCACTATTAGGAATAGTCACACTGGGAAAGGGACAGAGAGGAAAACAGAGTGCCCTGGGGCCACTTTATTAACCCTTGGTGCATCTTACTTTAATATCACGTGCCAGTCTCAGAATAGATGAAGCAGACTGGGAAAGTTTGGAGAAGGGTCAATGGAACAGCTTCTGTACAAGAAGCAGCGAAGTCGGATAGGGCTCATCAGCCGGGGAAAGAGGTGGCTGAAGAGAGATCTGACAAAGGTTTGTAAAATCCTAAGAAGCATGGAAAAGGTGACTAGCAAATGACAGTTCTTTGCCTCCTCCAACATAAGCACAAAGGGCATCAAAAGAAATTAGTGGCTGCTCTGTTCTGACAGGCTAGAAGAGGTGCATTTCTCATAAAACGTAGCTCTCCTTGCTGCAGGAGGCTGTGGATGTGAGAAGTCTGCACAGGTGCAGAGCACAAATGCGCAACATCATGGAAGAAAAATCCACTGCGCGTTATCAAGTACAAAGACCTTTGGCCCAGGAAGTCACTGAGCTGCAAAATGTGTGAGAGTATTCTGGGGAAAGTCTCACGTCCCCTTCTACTCTTGTGTAGGCATTTGCTGTTGGCCACACTCAGAAGCAGGTCCTGGGGAGATGGGCTGCTGGTCTGACCGAGTACAACTGTATTTATGTTACGGTTTTATGATCCTTCCATAAAAGTGGAAACCACATGTCCCAGAATATCTAGCCTGCATAAAGCATGGGATGCTACATGGCTGGGAATTGCCTTACCAGGAATAATGGGAGGGTGAACTAGAGGGCAGCTTGCAAGTCCTTTCTGATAATAGGTGTTTTAATTAAAAGGCATTGCAATTCAACGTGGAGCCTGTGACAGAGGGAAACAAAAGAAGGAAAAACTACGGAAAGAAATATCTGAAGACAGCAGCTTGCACAATGCTCTCCCTGCAGGCTTCCACCAGCTGCTGATGGTGTATTCAAGCCACGAGGTCAACACTTCTTTCATAAACTCTTGGTTCCAGGATATGATACACGCACCCCTGACACATGCTTTTGCCCTTGCTGAATCAGGGTCTTTTAAGTCTTTGTGGATTGAGTCCTGGGTATTTGTGTTTCTATCTTTAGTTACAAAACAGTGACACATTCTTAACTGTAAAGCCTTTAGCTAATCATTGACAGACTGGTGCCTATAAAAGAGTGCTGTAGTTATTCAGAGTCTACAACTTCCTCTTTTAAAGTTTAGTGCTTATATATTTCCTGGCTGTTTAAACTGTATTTTCATCCTGTAGAGAGCAGAACTTGTGTGATATACAGATATCATCCTGGGATTTTCTTACCATCTAAAACAGGAACATGTACCTAGCAGTCGTTCAGTTACCATTTCACAAGCTGCCCCTCAGAAATTTAGACTTGAAGGAAAACTTTGGTATTTGTTGGGAAGAGAAGACAGGTTTTGTTACTCCTGTTGTTCCTGTTGCCCCTCCATTTGGGATTTTAAATAGGGCATGTGTCTTTCCTGCATGAGCTGATACACCTGGGCTCTCCTGCTCCGCAGCTATGGCTGCATAGCTGAAGCTGCTATTCTGTGCCTGGGGAAAGACAACATCAAGTGCAGATCAGTGCTCTTATATGAATATTTACCTACCAGATAGAGATACCAGCTCATACATGAAATTGTTTATAACCTGAATCCTCAGGTGTAGTCTGTGTGTAACCAAGGGAAACATGCTGCTAAACTAATCCTACAGAAGTCCACCAGTAGCCATGGGCATGTATTACTTTCTAAGCAGCCTAATGTCAGGAGGTAAGGCAAAGGAATAGACTAATGGAGATTAATGTTATGAAATTAAACAAAAAAAATTGCATCCAGGGAATCCAGAAGTTTCTGCCCCGATCATCTTGCTGACCATAAGACCAGCCAGCCTCCTGCCACTGCAGCTGGCAAGGAGAGGCAGGACTTGAACTGAAGAATTTTCAATATTGCTCTTGCAAGATTGTCTCCTACTGTGTGTAGTAACTGTAATCAAAAGAAGTGCAAGGTCTGCACCTCCTGCCTATACAGATGAAAGTCAACCCAGTAGTGATACCAAGTCAGGATATCCTAGTGTCGTTCAGCAGAGTGCTGCAGTGCTGCACGAGAGTGCGATATTGAGTTGGAGTGAGGAGAAACATGGCATTCAGCTCAACATAACAACTCAAATCTGAACTGGACGTCAAAGCTGCAGGTGTCACCCTGTGGTAGGTGCTTGCCGTTTCCCTGCTTGGGACCTACACTGCTGACAGACAAGGTTCCTACTAACATGTCCAAGATTGCAGCCCTACTGCATACAAGGCCAAAGTGAGTTGATGCAGTACAGACATCACTCTGGATCTGCAGACCCTGTGTCACCCGTTCTGACCTCAGAGCTGCTTCTGCTCTGTTCTTACTGTTCCCTGATGGAGCTAGGCAAGTAGCATCTTCCTGGGTGCCCCTCAGGGATGAAAGGGAGGAGAGGGGAGCAGTCTCCTCTTTTCTTCCCTACAGCAGGCAATGCCCTGGCTCTCCATAGCAAAGTGCCAGAGCAGAGCACCTTCTTTTGCCTTGTCCACCAGAGGGTGAGGTCTTCCAAGGACAGGTCCTGGCTCTTCAGTGAGATCATTTCAGCTGCACACCTTATGGGGGAGCTGGTCTACAGAGGAGGGCCAGCGGAGATGAGAAAGACACAAAAAAGTCCTACCTCTGCCGTTATCTCACCCATTATTCAAAGACTGAATACTGTGGCAATATTTTGATGTACTTCCATCAACATCACACAAAGCTGAAAAGGTATTGCCAGCCACATCCTGCGTAGTACTACTGTGATTTTCCCAGACTGTCTCAGGCTGGCATTCAGAGGAGGGTATCTCTGTAGCTCTGGGGATTTTTAGCTTGAGATAGGAGGATCCCAAAGGGAAACAGAAAAATGAGACAATTTAGCAAAACTGACAGGAATTAATGAAGTGATTCTGTTCCCCTGTCCCTGTATTTCCAGGTAACAAGGCTTCATCAAAACAATATTGTCTGTTCTATGTCTATGGGGTGAGGAGGGCTCTGCCTGCCCAAATTGATTTCATTTTGGTTTTTCTTACATTTTGCCATCCAGGACTGTATGTTTGGGCACTCGCAGTGAGAGAGAGAGGACTGGACTTACAAGCTGTCGCAGGCACTAGAACCACAGCAGCAATGCCACCGCAGTGGTCTAGGGGCAGCTGACAGCCAGGTGCCCTCAGAGACACCTCAGCTTTCCGTAGATGAACTCTACAGAGAAACTAACTAAGAACATCCATTAAATGAGGGGGAAAAAAAAATCTGATAAGTGCATAAACCAGCAACTAACTTTTCAAGAAAAATATAATGTGGATGAATTGTATCACGGTTGCCAGTATCGTTTTTCTTTCATGCTGCGGTTTCTTTGGTCTACCTGTTAGGCTATCTAGATCGTGGATTTTGCAACTGCAGTTGTCCCTGGGATTAACTGCTCTTGTCCACAGCATATGACACTTTAAGGCATGAGGTGAAAATTACAGGAGTCAACACGTGGGGGAGACAGGCAGAATGTGATTCCTTGAAACTATGCAACCAGGAGACAGAGCCAAAAGAAAGTGGTATGAATTCTCCAGGCCTGCCATGTGGTGAACGAGCTTGATTTGTTGTTTTTTACTGAAGTGCATTGCACTTGGGATTTTTCAGTCAAAAGTCAAGCTTGAATTGTTTCTCAAGCATTCCTGTTTCTGAGTGATTGATCATTCAGAGATGAGCGATGCCAACTGAGAGCATTTATGCAGAGTGGTTGCAAGAGCAGGGTGAGAGGGATGCATGGGTGACTGAAACACTTCAGTGGCCGCTGCCACTGCCCCTGAAGGAGAGCTGTGGGCTTGCAGAGGTGGCTGGAAGGGACTGAAGAGGAATGCTAAAAGGCTGATGGGATAGCAGCTGGTAAGCAAAGTTTTACAGATGGGTGCTATCCACCCTGAGGGCCATGATACCTTGTGCTGTCTACGAGGTTTGTGCAGGCTTTGTGTGTGTGCATGTGCTGTCTATGAGAGAAAGCCTGCTACTACTGTGATTAAGTGATTTTTAAGAGATTAAGGACTGTAGAAAGTGATTATTTCCAGTTTTGTCCCCATAGCAGAACTGTGCTGTGTTAGGATTGTGACACGCAGGTATTCACACTCTCTCTCTCTCTCTCTAGGTTCTCAAGCATCTACGCCACTTAAATTTCACAAACAACATGGGGGAGCAAGTGGATTTTGATGAGTTTGGGGACCTGGTAGGGAATTACTCAATAATCAATTGGCATCTATCTCCGGAGGATGGCTCAGTCGTCTTTGAGGAGGTTGGGCACTACAACGTTTATGCCAAGAAAGGGGAGAGGCTCTTTATCAATGAAAACAAGATCCTGTGGAGTGGATTCTCTAAGGAGGTAAGTGCTTAAATCCTCACAGCAACATTTCCCAAGTTTCCACAAGCTGAAATTTGAACTAACCCTACGCACTCCTGTATTACGGCTCCATGGCTCATTAAAAGACCCATTCATCTTACTATATATATGGTCTCTGCCGTAGTCTTTTACACCCTCATTACACACTTCTGGAAATAACGGGCAGCTGCTTCTCCGCTCCTATACATTTGATTAGCTTGGGTATAATGGTTTAAATAATGCCTTTTTTCTGGCCCAAGTAGATAGCTTGGAATTTTGCAATGCTGTTTCCACAAGGATGAGAAATTCATTACCCAAGTCTGGTTGTTGACTAAGTCAAGTTTTCCTGAGCTCAGTACTTTCATTGCTGAAAACAGCCATCTCTTCCACTCCCAGTGTCTCTTCCTGCTCCCAGTTAAATTTGCAGCTGTTTCTGCTAGCTTTACCCTCCAAGTCCCAGAGCCTTCCACACACCCTTGTGTGGAACAGAACAAACCTTGTCAATCTTCCCAGGTTAACTTGGACATGGAGCTCAAATAGTGGGAGATGCCAGTACCTGCTATCTTTTTTTAATCTAGTGCAGTCTCAAAAGTACGTGATGTAACCATTGACTTTAGTCAGGCCTAAGTCCTTCTCCACTTTCTTGCATATCTTTTAGATCTTTGAGTTAGTTAGATCTTTTCAGCATAACTGTATCGTCACTAGCAGCCAGGGCTGTGTCTCCCCCATGTAATGGGAACGTGGTGCAGGGATCTCCGGACAAGAGCCAGGTGAGCTGCAGTCACAGCCGGCAGCAGCCTGCTCCAGCTTAGACAGAAACCCTGGCTCCCAGAGGGGATACTGAGCAGGCATCTGGCTTGTGGCCTGGGAGGTGACACAGGGAGTGTTAGCTTAGAAATGTCACTGCCAGGCCCTGCTGCAATGTTTAGGCGTGTTAAATCAGCACCTGATTAATGAACAAGGCAATTCACTTCCAGGTGATTATTCATGTTGGCTGAGAGATCAGGTAGCTGCTTCTGCAGTAGCTACGCTTGCCTAATACACTTACACCATCAGTTAAGCCTTACCTTTACTCCAGATACCCCAGCTTCACTTATGGTTTAAATCCAGAGCTCTCTGAAGGAGGCATGGGTCAGGCAGAGCATGCTGCAGCAGAAATACTGAGCTCAGGCTTTTCTAAGCCCAGCTGGAGACTCTGAGCCCAAACTATAAGTGGAATTAAAAAACCCTGATATTCTAACCCCTTCTTCTGATCATTGCAAATGCCACTGACACCTCTTCCAACAGGCAGGATCTTTTTTTTTAACTTAAACTGAGTAATTATGTTCTCTTGGTCTGAATTCCTCCAACAGTGCAATATTTATCTTCATTCTCTGTCCTAAACTGCTAAAAACGTGACTGGATGTTGCAGAGTGTCATGCCAGGGCATGTAAATTGTGTGCCAGTGGAGGGGTTTGTAATCTCTATGTCTGTAGCAGCTTTTTTTCCAGTTTATAGAGTTTGAATTTCTTCCAGATAAAAGGCTCTAGTCAAAGAGAGTAGCTTCACTCATTGAAGCCTTCTATGCCTCCGTCACCCTCAAAAAAGATTAAATGTAGTTAATTTTAACACAGGAACTTCAGCATTGGCCAGACTTGCAAAAGAACAAGTTAAAGAATAGGTAAGATAGATGGATTCGTTTTGGCAGAACTTGATGAAATTCCCCGCAGAATACTTAAGAAGGCAGCCAAAGCAATCTCAAAAGTACTAGCAATTTGTCTTTGAGAAATGTGGAGGATGGGTGATGTCTCAAAGGATTAGAGGAGGGTAATTGTAATACCTGTTTTTAAAAGCAGATATAGGAGAGCCAAGGGAATTACACACAATTGAGCTGAGCTTCGGTAACCTAAAAGACTTGATAAAAAAGAATTATTAAACAGTTTATAAACACTTAGAGGATAATAAATTGATAAGAAAAAGCCAACATGGATTTGTCAAGATGAAATCATGCCAAACCAATTTAATTTTCCTCCTTGGAAGCTCAATCAATTTAGTAGATAATGGGGAAGCAGTGCATGACTTTGATTCAGCCCTGTTCAAAATTATTAGCTAGGGAAAGACAGTCTGGACTGATGAAGTCCTCTCAGTGCATGCACAACCTGCCGAAAGACTGTCCCAAGAAATAGGTATTAACAGCACACTGTATTAATAGCAATAGGTATTAACAGCAAAGAGTGCTTCACGTGGGGAGCTGCAGGGATTTGCCCTGGATATGCGTCTGTCCAATTAATTAGGCAGTCCTGATTAACAGCTTAGAAACAGGGTTCCCAAACTGCTGCTGCTATACTTCAGAGTGGTAGGCAACGACGACTGCTCTCAGCTGCAGGCTAATACCAGAGGTACAGTTGCCACTGAAGGCTTGCTTACCCTGTGGCTGAGGTTGATGCGTGCACACAGGCAATTTCCAAACCACACCCCGGACTCGCTGCCTAAGTGCATCCACACAGGAGCTTCCTGGAGATCAGCAGGTTAGCAGCACTTGGGCTTGGCAACAGGGTAAGTGAGGAAGTTAAAGGGTTCGGACAGGGTTTAGATCCTGCAGTGAGGGACGGGGAAGAAGGGGTTGGAGGTTTATTCCTTTCCACATAGCAGCAAACCTCCAGAAAGGTGAATGGAGGCTTCCAACCAGAGCAGCCCTTAGGTATGTGCAGATCATGGCAGTGGAAAGTGTGGGTTTAACTCCCCTGAGCTGAGAAAGCCATGTTCTGTGTCAGCTCTCTTTCCTTAATTTAGCTGGGAAAAGGTGAGCTCAACCTCACGTTGTGCTTCTGCGTAAAAAAGGCCCAGCACTTACTGTGCTGAACTCCCTGTTGTCAGTGTGCATTAAGCATGCGGTGAGCGACCACTTGCTGCCAGGATATGACCATGCCCAGGTGGGCTCATGCACAGCATAAATGCACAGCCAGCAGGTGACGCAGCTCCTCATTTGCAGCAGCAGAAGTCTGGAAACCTGAGTAACCTTTCTGATGGAAGTTCAGGAATGTCAGCAGTGAGCTGTGGGCTTTATAGGTCCCTTCCATGGATTTAAACATGGAAGACCTAAGGTGTACTTAATGTGGAGGTGTCCTTTTTTGGATCTGCATAGAGGTGTTGATTTGCATCTTTAGATGCTCAGTATTCTAAAAACAGGGCCTTCCTCTCTTTCGTATGAACACTCCTCTTGTTTAGTTAATTTACCTTTTATGTTTCTGGGTTGGAGAGGGTCTTCAGGAGAACAGGAGGAAGTGGGCTTCAAGGAACTGTTATAATTCCCATAAATCATTAGCAGTCAATACGCAATATATGGGATTGGGGATCAGCAGTCAGAGCCCATAATCTCCAAGGATGACTCAGATTCCTGCCAGTAGAGATTGATTGTCTTTTCTTTTAACCATCCAATGACTGTTTTCTGGTACATGTATCATGAGTCACATACAAGTTCGCAGTGCCCACAACACAGTAGAGATTACAGAGATCCTCCCCACCATCCTTTGATGTGATCCTTCAACAAGTATCACTGCAGTGGGTTGGGGAAGCACTGTTGTACAAGATGTGTCTGTTCTGTGGAAAGCATAAGTGAGCCTCTGAAGCTCTCCATCCAGCATGCTAATCAAGCGATAACACCCTTGGAGTAAGCCCAAGTTCCTGCAGTAGGAAGGCTGTATGTGGGGCACTGCCACCATTAACCCTCCTCGGGCTCTTTTCTTGCAGGTGCCTTTCTCTAACTGCAGCAGGGACTGCCTCCCGGGCACCAGGAAGGGCATTATTGAGGGAGAGCCCACCTGCTGCTTCGAGTGCGTGGACTGCCCCGACGGGGAGTACAGTGATGAAACAGGTAATGCCCACAGAGCTGCTTTGGGGATTGCAGAGGACCGTGCGAACCCTCTGGGCATCACCTGCAGTTGTGCTGAAGTCGCTTCCCTGCAGTGCTGAGCTGGAGGCTGCTCTGCCACGAGGCTTCACAGAAAGTCTGAAGGGACTTCTGAAAAGCTTACAGGAGTTGAGTCCTGTGGTCCTCAGGTCCTGTCTTCTGCAGAGCCTGCTTGTCCCTTCTGCTCCGATTTAGGAAAATTAAGGCAGAGAACTGGAAAAAGGACTTGCATATAGGAAGCCTCTCAGGCAGCCACAAGCAAACTCCCTTGCACTGTAGCAATAGCTTTTGTGCCTCCAAAAGCCGGGAGGAAGGAGACAGTCCCTACCCTTATCCTAAATTCTGTAGTTATCTGTCTGCTTTTCCTCATGTTGTCAGGGTTTTATTTCATGGTTTACAAAGACATAAAGTCCATTCCATCCCTGACTTCACAAGCAGAGAGGAATATTTCCCTATATGGGGTCACCAACCACAGCTTCTGTTGAGCACTGGCACTGCAAGAGACCAGAATCTCTGGGTCCTATCAAACACCCATGGACATCTTTTTTGTTGGTTTCAGTGGGAACTTGGATCAAGCTGCTCAGGTTCTGCAGTGGAGGGAAAAGGTAACCTCAGTTTTAGAGTTCATTGAAAAATTCTGAATTTCCAACACCATTAGTGCTCCCTCAGTATTAGGCATCCCCAGGGTAATGAAGGCAAGTAAATCCTTTCAGATCAGCAGTTCCCTCCACACTGCAGAGCGCTCAGGATCTCCTCACACCCTCTCTGGCAGCACTGGTCCCAGCACATGCTGCAGACCTTGTCTGACATGAAAACTTCAGTAAGCTGCTTGCAAGACTGAACAAGCGTACTCCTTTGGGAGACTCTAATTTGCATCCTATCAGACAGGAATGATGATTTTTTTAGCATGAACATACAGTACTACAGGATGCTTGGGAGCAGCATTTTCTAATTAAATAGAAGCAATTCTGGTCATGTGGGTCTTTTGGTGTTTTTCACAGGATTTTGGGAGCTGGCACTGGTGTGCTGGTGGAATTTGTGGGGCTGAGGGGGCGGCTGCCTTATGACTCCACAGTTTCCTGCTGCAATTTCAGCTGACAATAATACTCTCTATTTCCTGTGCTTGCCAGTTTTATAGGCGTAGAGAGCAGTTTTACAACCAGTCTCATCCAGCTGAGATAGTGATGCTACCAAAGGAGACCACCTGTCATGTCCTCTCCCAACTGTTTGCTCCCACCCTTTGTCTGGGAGCAGTGCTGGTACTTGTGCAACCATAGAGCAAGTTGGATCAGGTCTCTGGTCTTTCTAAAACAAACTCTTGGCAGGTTGAGTTTCCAGCTAGAACGAGAAGCTGCACGACCTATAGTGCTAACACAAAGGAGGGGGCAGGAATGAGCAGCCTTGGGGGAGGAGAGAGATCTGGTTTACTCCCTTCAGTGGCAGCATGTTCTCTAAGTCAGCTCAGGACAACAGTGAAAGCATTTCTTTAGGATGCAGTGCTAAATAGCTGCCCCTGTCTCTGGTAGAGGCAGTTGAATTTCCTGCTATGTGAAGTTAGCTCTGCCTTGCCTGCAGTTTGCAATAGGCTTGCAGGTAAAAAGCAGAAGGATGTAAATGAAATGACATGTGACGATGGGAGCTTTTGACTGAGCTTTTGCATCTAGTGCAAGTTTTTCACATGAATAGCTTAGGTGAGGCAACCAGTCATTAGGAAAGCAGTATCATATCAGGTCACAGACGCTCCCTCCAACCACCCCTCCAGAACAAGAGAGCTTGAAATCCGCTGCCCTCATTAGCTGGGCATTCCTAGCTTTCTCACTGGCATCAATCTCTGCTCGGAGCTATGCTCCGAGTCTCTGTCCGTGCTCAGGTGCAAAGCTCAGGGGGAGGTTGCTGCTAAAGGGGTTTTCTGAATGTTTGTTCCCAGAACTCACTGCAGCCCATTGCTATCCCACTGGGATTCCGAAGGCTGAGGTAGGTTATGACTTCCAACTCACTGCTCTCAACGCCTTTCCACTGCCGTCAAGGGAGTCATGACCCTCCCCACTGGAGCACAAGACCCATTTGGGTCAAAGAAGAAGAGCAGAAGCAGCAGGTCCTCTTCCCTTTTGATCGTGGCAGCCATTGGAGACATATGTTGCCATCCCAGTAGGTACAACTAGTTTCATGTAGAGGAAAGAGATGGAGGCATCAATTTTCCCTTTGCAAGTATCAGTGGGACGCTTTGCTGGGTGTGGGGAGAGTGATATCGTTAAGACACATCTTCCTCTGATGTTCCAACATGAAATGAGAGTGTGCTGGGAGTCCAGGGCATTGCCTGCCTTCAGGGAAGAGCAATTTAAATACTTCTAAGACTTGCCTCTGTGGAATATGAAATAGGTTCTCAAAGCACTTAAGGAGGCAAGCACGGTTTTAATTTTCTCTGTAGAGACAGGCAGGATGTTTCAAATGGTGATAAAAGTGTGAGAGGTGTGAAGACAGACAGAAGTAGATGATAAAAATGAAAGAATAAGAAAGAGAGAGGGACAAAGCCTGTGTAGCAGCCGATAGCAATCAAAGTTTGCAAAGTTTTGCCAAGAAGCGGATTCCAAAAACACGAGTGCAGGGGCAGGACTTTTTTTCAGCTAGAACTAAGGATGTGTTTTGCTACATAGCCTGTGGGATGCAGGTTGTTTCAGTGTAACACACTCTTAGACACCAACATGTGATTCTGGGAATCTGCAGGCACCTGAAGGGAACACCCCATGTATTTAAGGTAAAGGCCAGTGCGTAGCTGCCATATATGTCATCCCACATTTCAGCCTCTTATTCTGACAAACGTTCCCTCTCCCTGTCACTTCTTTTTCAGATGCAAGTGCCTGTGACAAGTGCCCCGAGGATTACTGGTCCAATGAGAACCACACGTCCTGCATCCCCAAGCAGATAGAGTTTCTGTCCTGGACAGAGCCCTTTGGGATTGCTCTGACTCTCTTTGCTGTGCTGGGAATTTTCCTGACTTCTTTTGTCCTGGGAGTCTTCACCAAATTTCGCAACACGCCCATCGTCAAGGCCACAAACCGGGAGCTGTCCTACCTCCTCCTCTTCTCCTTGCTCTGCTGCTTCTCCAGCTCATTGTTCTTCATTGGCGAGCCCCAGAACTGGACTTGCCGTCTGCGGCAGCCAGCTTTCGGCATCAGCTTTGTCCTCTGCATCTCCTGCATCCTGGTGAAAACCAACCGTGTCCTGCTCGTCTTCGAGGCAAAGATCCCCACGAGCCTCCACCGAAAGTGGTGGGGCCTCAACCTCCAGTTCCTCCTGGTCTTCTTGTGCACATTCGTGCAGATTGTCATCTGTGTGATTTGGCTCTACACAGCCCCACCATCCAGTTACCGAAACCATGAACTGGAGGATGAGATTATCTTCATCACCTGCCATGAAGGCTCCCTGATGGCCCTTGGCTTCCTCATTGGCTACACCTGCCTCCTGGCGGCCATCTGCTTCTTCTTTGCCTTCAAGTCTCGAAAGCTACCTGAGAACTTTAACGAGGCCAAGTTCATCACCTTCAGCATGCTGATCTTCTTCATCGTCTGGATCTCCTTCATCCCTGCTTACGCCAGCACATACGGCAAGTTTGTCTCTGCCGTGGAGGTGATTGCAATACTGGCTGCCAGCTTTGGACTCCTGGCCTGCATCTTCTTCAACAAAGTCTACATCATCCTCTTCAAGCCCTCCCGCAACACAATCGAGGAGGTGCGCTGCAGCACAGCTGCCCACGCTTTCAAGGTGGCCGCCAGGGCCACGCTGAGACGGAGCAACGTGTCGCGCAAGCGCTCCAACAGCCTGGGGGGCTCCACCGGCTCCACCCCTTCCTCCTCCATCAGCAGCAAGAGCAACCATGAAGACCCTTTTCCTCTACCGGCCTCTGCCGAGCGGCAGCGCCAGCAGCAGCGTGGGTGCAAGCAAAAAGTCAGCTTCGGGAGCGGCACGGTCACTCTGTCGCTGAGCTTTGAGGAGCCGCAGAAGAATGCCATGGCCAACAAGAATGCCAAGCGCAGGAACTCCCTGGAGGCCCAGAACAGCGACGACAGCCTGATGCGGCACCGGGCCCTGCTTCCCCTCCAGAACAGCGAGCCCCTCAGCGCTGAGCCCGGCTTCCAGGCAGCTTCCAGCCCGGAGACCAGCTCGCAGGAGTCGGTGGTGGGAGACACCAAAGAAGAGGTACCAAGCCCTGAGGCGGAGCCTTCCCTGCCATCGGCTAACTCCCGAAATTTTATAGGCGCTGGAGGTGGCTCTGTCACAGGGAACACGGTACATTCCTAACGAAAGATCGTGAAAAGCACACCAGCCCCCAAGAGGAACTTGCTCACCTCTTGCTTCTGAACGGGAAAGACAACAAAGACACACTCCTGTCACACAGCCCCACCACACCTTACTGTTAGCGCCAGCAGGGTAACACACGTGCCTCCAGAGGAAGGAATGTGTCTGGGGAGCCTTGGACTGAATTTGCATTCGCTTTATTGAAACCAGGACATCTCAGAAGGACAAGTGAAGATCGCCTCTGGTGGGGCTTAAGCAGAAGTCTGCATGCTGCCTTGCCTCCGTAAGCTTTTCCTGCCAGACTGCAACTCAGCTGACTTTGGGAGGCACTAGGCAATTCCACTATACTCTGCTTTTACATTTATGTATAATATTCCTCTTTCCCACTATGTATAATATTCCCTCTTTATTCAGTATATGTGATCTGTAACCATGTGCATCAGGACTCTCAGCTCTACAGAAGCAAGGTACACAGTTTCACTTGGGGAAAGCACGGTCGTGGGGAAAATAAAAAAGCCCCCAACATCCTGCATGCTGTGTACAGCCAAGGGTGTGAACATGTAAAGTATTTAATGAGACAGAGTGCCCTGCTATTTATATTTAGTAATGTCCCAATCTCTCCTTTCTGCCCAGCAGGAAATACTGGACAATACTCTTCATAGGCTCCATTGCACTAGACCAAGCTACTAGGTTCCTACTGGTTTCCTTCAGCTGAGGTAGCTTTACCTCCAGCCTGCCTGCTTTGGTGGAGGAGAACAGCTTGTAAATCCCCCCCAGAGAACGTTGCGAGAGCACAATGAGATGTATCCATGATTGATTATGTCGCTAGTAGTTGTATGCTTAACAAAGTGTTGCTGCTGTTATATTCCACATGGCATACATGGCTAACCCTTTCACACCATAGTCAGTGTTGTGCTTTGCCATATTAATCTGCCTCGCACCTACAAAGAGCATTGTGCTAGTCGTGACGATACTGGTGGGCCTGATACAAAGCAAATGAAACAAGGTGAAATGGAGGAGTTAGGGATGCAGAAATAGCCCCCAAATGTGGTAATATGATTGCAGGAGTGGGTGAATATCTGAAGCGTGTGCTGGTAGATGACTGGATGAGGAAGACGTACAGGCCTGGGCTCTGAGACACGCACACAGACAAATGGGTAAATTGGCTCTGTTTTGGCTCCTGTAGGCCACTTACTAGGTTATTTCCCTCCTGGTCCATCTTGAAGAGAGGGCACCTAGCACAAGAAGGGTGCGCTGTACCTAAAGAAAAATAGTAAGGACTTCAGCAAAGAGCATAGCACAGCTTCATTACTCTTGACATTTGTCCACTCCCCCAAAAGCAAACATAAGTGCTCCTGGTTTTGCAAGGTATGCCTGGTTCTTCTCCATCCATGCTGGAAAGGAAGGAAGGAAGAGAATCGTTAGAAGAAATATTTATTGCAGCCTAATAAGAGAAAAAGCACCCCTCGACAGCCTGGCAGGAGGGGATAGGGTTACGTTGCAGAATTTATTTCCCTCTTCCCAGATCCTGTGTCCAAGAACAAGCATCTGATGTGAAGGTGTCAGAACCCTCCCTCATCAAACAAGAAGGTAGTCTAGATCACTATGGAAAGGCAGACGGGCCTGCAGCTTAGTGTGAGCGGAGACGAAAGGACTGTGTGAATGCTTTGGGGAAAATACCACAATTCTCTTGTTGCTGTTTTTGCTTGGTTGTTCTTTTGCCAGGGCAGGCAAATAAAACTTACAGGTGACATTACTGCATAAAAACTTTGTTTTGCCACCTCCACTTGTTGCTGACGAGGAAGAGGAGTTTTGGCTTAAAAGAGCACAGTGAAAGTCCAGAACCCCAAGGAGCATGTTATTAAGACAAGTTATTTTAACCCTGTTACATTCACCTCAGAGTGGGCTCAGATTTTAAGTGCACCATGTAAGAACCAATCCGACTTTAACTGTAAGGCCTCCTAATGACAATATTTGATTAAAGCTATGGCACAGCTGGTTAAAAGAAAAAAAAAAAAAGAGTTTGAAAACACAAATCCTAGTGGCCACAATTTTGGAAACCACATTCTACCCCTGGACCCAGTCGGAGTTGCTCACTGCTTCTGAAAATCCAGGTCCCTTCCCCAGGCTGCTGATTGTGGCGTCTAGGCTTAATTTAGGGTAAGGGATTGAGACCTGTGGTCTCCCGAGTCTAAATGCACCAACAGAGGTGGGCATTAGATGGTGGAAAGGGCTAAAAAAAGTACTTTGGTTATGGCCCACACTTCCAAAAATTTCAGTAGCCAAATAGTTTTCGTGCTAGTGAATCATTCCTACGTGCCAAAACCAGTACAGTAGCCCCTGAACCGAAGCTGACAGCATTGAAAGCATAGAAGCACTTAATGAATGAAATGAAGACGACACAGGATACAAACCGAAGACTGTGCAGGAACACATGCAACATGAGAAACAAAGTCACCACTGGCTGCCTTGTTTGGAGAAGAATATTCACTGGCTATGCACACAGTAGATAATGTTGACATTTGGGTGTTTTTCATTCTTTGGGTGGTTTCCATTCTTTAGGTGTTTTTCGTTCCTTACATCTACTTAAAAGGAATTTGTACCCTGGCACACGATGAGGCTCCAACAGCTGCCATAATTTTATAGCAACAGACCAATGGTGCTCAATTTGCTGGGGAACCCCCGTCCACCCTCACTGCACACGTACCCAGAGCTCTAAACCTCGAGCTCCACACGCTGTGTGAGAGCCGCTGCTGCAGCCTGTTGTAGTGACGCAGACACACGCTAGGTGCAAGGGAAGTTTGGTAAAAAAAGACCCCCTTCGTGAAGGTGATTTGCAACCCAACCTTTTTTCCTGTGCACGGAGGAGGGTATATGTTCTCATCCTGCCAAGTTCAGAAGAGGAAGTTGGCTCACCTGTCCAACAGCCTGTCTGTGTGTCACATAAGGCAATACTGATGAAGACAATCCTTCTGTTGAAAGCTCAAGTCTGAGGACCTCCACTGGCATGCCCCACCAGAAGTTGCCCACGGGACTGGCTGCCCCATCCCACACCCCCAGGGCTCAAAAACCTGCTGGAAAGCATCTGCCGATGTGGTGTTTCCTGAGCCATCCGGTAGAGAAGCAACAGCAGTGTGGACAGAAGCAAGGGGTACATCAGCTCTGTGGTGGGATTTCCATTGACGAACGTGGCTGATGGGCAGGGAACTGTCCCAGTGAAGAGCCCAATCCTTCACCCCCCCTCTGCTCACAAACCCAGCAGAGCTCTGCCTGCCCAAAGCCCCAGCAGAACATTTATTTGCTTTCCACGGAGGAGAGAGATGATACCGGGGGAAAGAAATCCTTCTTCCCCATTCTGTTTCATGCTTCTCACCATGTCCTCCCTACCAGCGCAGGAGGTCCATTCAGTATGCAATACCCGCTGCTGTTAAATTTAGGGTTATATTTACCAAATTTACCAAGGGATGCTGGGAAGCAGGGGGAGGAAGGTAGGTTTTTGTTGTTGTTTTTCGAAGGAATCTGGATGTTTAAACTGGGGGGAGATTTAGCTAAAGACCCAAACACTCAGACTTAAGTCTCCCCAGGGGGTTTCTCGAAGGCTGGATAATTCACCACAGCCTCCGGGTTGCTGGCTGAGGAACGGCAAAATCAGCCTGGGAGAGGGAACGACGAATACGGTGAACGACGGAGTCCCGGCGAGGGAAACCTTCCACGCAGGTGACGGCTGCTGGAAAACGTGACGCACTGGAAAAGCAAAGCGCTGCAGCTGGGGACGGCCCCGTCCTCACGCAGGCCTCTCAGGCCCCCGCCGAGGACAGGCTGCAGACCTTCTGTGGGTCGTTCTGCGGGCAGCTTTTACTGCTTTTCGCTTTTTAATCGGCTAGCAGCCTACGGGACGGGAAGCTTTCTGCCAGGCCGGAGAGAGCTGCTCCCGCTGTGCTGTACTAACATGTCCCCGGCCTAGGCGCGGCCCTGGGGCGATCGCTGCCTCCGCGGCGGTGAGACGGGGCCCGGGC